TGGTCCCTCAAGTGCGGCATCGCTGATTCAAAATGTAGTGAATCGAGCAAAGGTTAAACAAGTTCTTCTCATTATGAACTTCTTCAACCTCTATTGGATGAGTTTTTCTCATTATGAACTCTCCATTGGAAATGTTAATCCATTAAGTGAGGTTTCACTGTAACACCTATCTCATGTTTACCCTTCCGTACACAAGATACATATATCACATCACTTTTAAAACAGTTTCACATTTGAAAACCCATAAAATTTTGTTTTTTTATAAAAAAAGGTTTTAACTTAATAATAATAAAACATGCATTAAATTTACATAGATAAACAAAAGAAATGTTCAAACATTTTATCATTTTACATAATGATATACTTTTCAGAGCATTTTTACTAAATCTATTACATGCCTACTAAATACATCAAAAGTAGACATGGGTGTCATATTGTTACTGATGAGGCGACACTTGCTTCGATGTCTGATAGTCTCCTTACTCAGCTTGTATTAAAACCTACGCATGAAATTAACACACACTAAGAAATTTCTTATTGAGGCATAAATAATCATAAGCAAAATTCTAAATACAATTATATCATGACAATTCTAATTTCCAGTGATTATTTCAATTCATTAAACACTCTATAGTTTATATCGGTAGTGATAATACCATCGTTTCTCAATCATTACTATAATTTACGTGGGTTGCATTCCCACTCCCAATACGAAAGCTCACACACTTAGTATGAATTTCTTAGTTTTGCACACAGTGCCCATACGTAAATTCACACACTTAGTATGAATTTCTTAATTTTGTACACATAGTGCCCATACGGAAATTCGCACACTTAGTATGAATTTCTTAATTTTTGCACACATAGTTCCCTTACAAAAATTCACACACTTAGTATGAATTTCTTAATTTTCTGCACACGTAGTGCCCATACGGAAATTCACACACTTAGTATGAATTTCTTAATTTTTGCACACATATTGCCCATCCGAAAATTCATACACTTTGTATAAATTTCTTAATTTTGCACACATAGTGCACATACATAAATTCATACACTTAGTATGAATTTCTTAATTTTGCACATATAGTGCCCATACGGAATTTCATACACTTAGTATGAATTTCTTAACTTTTTGCACACAAGGTGCCATTCAGTACTGAACATACATATATCAATCAATCATATATTTATGACTATCGTACACATAAGTACATATTAAATGCACTCACCTGGCTGGCCTCGCTATGGAATCCAAAATGCAAAGCTGATTACTCAGGTACTTGGCCTTTGCCTTTTGTTTCGCTTGACTCTAGAGCTTGATTTTGATCTACTCAAACATCAATTAAATACACGTACAATATCAATTGTTAGTTTATTTCCTAACAATTATAATTAAACATTACTCAAGAGTATATATTATTAAATTTTCTATAACGATATCAGCCTATCTTAAGATTTCTGGCTCAATAGTATCGATACCCCTATCATGGGATCGATACTACTATACTATTATATCGATACTCTATTACGGTATCGATACCATTTTTTCATTCTATAATCAATGGTATTGATACCTTCCTCATAGTATCAATACTCCCCTTTCGGCATCAATACTGCTTGCATCAGTATCGATAATTCTCAGCTGATTCTTCCAATTTCAAGCCTATAGTATCGGTACTGTTCTATTAGTATCTATAACCTTACCTATATTTTCTATTTTTCAGTCCAATTCTTACACAAATATGGTCAAATTTCCTTATGCTTACACCCAACAATGCCATTAAACTCTTCTTTACTTATTCCTACTAAATTCCCTTCATTTAGCTTCTTAAAACACTTAACATCTCCCAAGAACATTTCAAACTAAGAATCACACCACATTTTCTAACTTTTTTTTTAAATCCATCCAATGCTTCTAATCTTTCATTTACCTCTTTGACAAGTCAAGTCTACTAATAAACATCAATAAACACTCATATCTTAACATATCATTTTAAACCCCATTTTCATAAATCTCCAATATTTCCTCTATCTCATAGTTTTAATCTTATATAACCTTTCCTTAAGCTTACATGTCATTTTAGTTTGCAAGAACCAACCAGAATCGAAAGGAAACGCTAACCAAATAAAATCTTACCTTTGCTATGGAAGAGAGCTTTTTCCACGGGGAAAGAACAAGAAAAGATAGATGACTTTTGGTAACCCGTTTTCCCCTTTCCCCTCTTTAGATTAATACCTTATTAAAAATTAATTTTAAATTCATTTTCCCCTTAAAGGACCAAAATCCCCTCTTAATCATCCATTGTTACAATTTAGTCTAAACCACTAATCCAAATCATTCTCATATTTTATCATTTAATAAAATAAATCCTCAAATTTTTAAATCATTTCAATAAAGTCCCTAATTCGATATTTGGGAAATTACAATTCTCCCCTTAAGAAATTTCATCATTGAATTTAAAGAAGTACCTAAAACGAAGAGGTGTGGAAACTGCTTCCTTGTATCCTCATATCTTTCCCAAGTAGCTTCTTTTACGTATGATTCTGTTAAAGCACTTTAACCAACATAATCTTTTTGTTACGCAATTCTTGGTTTCCTTAGTCATGATCCGCACTGGCTCCTTCTCATAAGTTAAATATGGTCGGATTTCTATTTCTTCAGGGGTGATAACGTGGAATGGATCTGATATGTACCTTCTAAGCATTGATACATGGAAAACATTGTGGATCTTGTCCATATCCGGAGGCAAAGCTAATTGATAAGCTACGGGTCCAACCCTTTTTAATATCTCATAAGGTTCAATGAATCTCGGACTCATCTTTCCTTTTTCGCCAAAACATAATACCTTCCTCCAATGCGATACTTTAAAAAATACTTTCTCCCTCTTGAAATTCGATTTCCTTTCTTTTCAAATCAGCATATGACTTATGGCGAACTGAGGCTATCTTTAGATTGTTCTGGATAATTTTCACTTTTTCCTCTACATCTTTCATCAAATCTGGGCCAACCAGGTCTCAGTCTTTTAGTTCAAACCAATTTAATGGTGTTCTCACTACAAGAATTTTATATTGTTTCAACAAAATTATTTATCATTAAAAGTACTAAATTTGTCACGATATATTTATTTTGACCAAATTTATTTGTTACCATGTTTCTTAGAACAACCTTCTCATGTAAAGTATATTGTGACAAACTGAGTTTGTTACCATAGTATAGTATTTATTGTAATAATGAAATTTCGTTACTATAATGAACTTATCGCAATAAAATATTTGTGACAATCAATTAACCATTTCGTCACGATAAGTACATTTTGTCATAACTAACTTATATTTAAATATCAAATATAAAGGATTTTTGTGACGAAAATACATAAGGCAACAAAATTATTTTGTCACAGTTGCTATTTCGTCACTAAAAGTAACTTACAAAAACAAAAATAAAAATATTTGTTAAAATAAAATACTTATTTCGTCACAAAAAGTAAATTTCGTCACAATGAAGTTAAATTATAACATCAAACAAAAAAGGTTTTCATGACAAAAAGACATATTACAACAAAATTTATTTTCTCGCTACTTTTATTTCGACACTAAATATTTTTATAACTTTTTTACTGTGACTAAATAATTTTGTTACAATTTGTTATTGTGAAAGAATATTATTTGTCAAAATCTTTTATAATGAAAAATTAATATTTGTTATAAATTGTTATTTTGATTAAATAAATTTGTCACAATTTTTTATTTTGACAAAATATTGGGACGAAATAAATTTGACATAACTATTTATTTTGACTAAATTTAACGTGTTATTGTGATTAAATCATTTTATTGCAATTTGTTATAGTAATAGTGAAAGAATGTTATTTGTCGAGATGAAAATTAAGGTTTTAGATTCGTTTATGGGTGGCTAGAAAAGCAACATTTGCACAAAGTAAGCATTCAATCCACCCGCGCTGTTTTTATATTAAAAAACTCCAGTGGTAATGAAGTCAACAGGCCGAAAAGCGGCATCGAAGAAAGTCCTAGTAGCCCATGTAATAACATCTGGCGTTTTGGTTGGCGACAACTAAAACATCCATGGTTTGTCTAGGGTTGATCATCATATAGTCGCTGGTAAACCTTTTAACGTAGGAAACATCTTGGGCAACGAGTGTGAGGGTGTGATTCACGATGGAGAAGAATTTCGGTTCATTCATTACAACGTTGATGATTCGGAGAAGGTATGTACACCCATAACTAACTTGCATAAGAAATATTGTATCTGCAAGCATGGATGAATTTAGAAAAAATTTATAGAGTGGGTAATATAAATAATTTGATCTGGTTTCAGTAATGCTAGAACGTACCGTTGGGGAACCCGTACGTGTCACCTAAGTGTCCGTTGATGGCGTAAGAATCTGGTTGCCAGGAGTGGTACCCGTTGCAACCACTTCATCAATCATTTGCTTGTAGTCTCCATTGTACCATGTTTCTATCGATACAAATTAAAAAAGAATCAGATAATGATTTTATAAACAGCACCGAGTGGAAAGTTGAAAGATATGCTTACGAAGCATGATTGTTCGATCGGCATCCGACGTGGGGAACTGATAAGTTTCGTGCTTGGTTCGTAAAGTGATAAAGGCTCCCTGGACGGAACCGCTAGTCCAGTCACTTGAGCATGCCACCATAGGGTTCCTATTTCATCTGATAATATGACTTGGTACGTGAAGTTGGTTCCTGGTCGAATCGGGCATTGAGTTATGAATTCGGGACCATCAGATCATGGGTTTCTTGGTTGTTTCACACCGTACCTGCAGCAACACAATTAATTAATTTATTTCGATTCTTCAGGAAATAACCATTGGAAAAAGAAAAATGACAATTACCAGTGAATGGTTAAACCAATGCAGCTGCTCTATATATACAATCTTCCATTTCATTTCACTGCCAACCAATACCCTTCTATCTCTTACATCAATCTATTCTAGTTCAAATATATAGTAGCTTTCATGGCATCGGCATCACAAGCAGCTGTTATTTCCTCACTGGTTTTATACTGTTTTATAGTTGCATCTGTTGTGGCTGCTAACTTCTACCGTGATTTCGACATCACATGGGGAGATGGTCGTAGTAAGATTATCAACAATGGAGAAATTCTCACTCTCTCCCTTGATAAAGCTTCTGGCTCCGGTTTCCAATCCAAGAATGAATATCTTTACGGGAAGATCGACATGCAACTCAAGCTCGTCCCTGGCAACTCCGTTGGCACTGTCACCGCTTATTATGTATGTTTTCTCTTCAACAATGTTAATGTTGATCCATTTGCCAACAACTTTGTCTTTACTCATTATTTCCTTTTCAAAACGTTTGCAGTGGAGAGTAGAGGGAGACTTGAGAGTAGAGGGACCATCAGACCATGGATTTCTTGGTTGTTTCACACCGTGCCTGCAGCAACACAATTAATTAATTTATTTTGATTCTTCAAGAAATAACCATTGGAAAAAACAAAAATGACAATTACCAGTAAATAATATTTTTTGCTTTGCTTATAGCTTTACAAGAGTAGTCGCACAGTGAAGTCAAGCGTTCGCAACGTCTTGCCCAAGATAAAGAAGGACAGGGACCCAACCCAAGTTTCAGAGGGGAGCAGCGAGTTAGCGAAGAAAGGGAAGCTCTGCACAAGGAAGTGAAATCTGGTTGTATCCCTTGCTTGTTTTTAGTGAGCGAAGCGAACGTGTACTGTGGAGTAAAGGCAGTCGTTGTTGGCACCGACCCCTCTAAGCCCTGGCACATCACAAGCCATCTTACTTAAGATTTTCGAAATAGGAGGAAGGGGCAATGTCAATTGAATAATCGTATCAAAGATAATGAGAGAGAGATGCGGCGCAAAGAAGAGAAATGGCCAAGTGAAAACAACACGCGTGAAAGGCTAGGGTTTTTGTGTTCTCCTAAAAGTTTTGGTCTAATTGGAAGATGGGTCCGTATAGTCTCACGTAATTTTATATTTGGTCACTTTTTTATTTCTTCCAATTTGGTCACTAAATGTTTCTTTCTAATTTCTGATGGTGGATCACGAGTTTTAGTACAATTTAGTCATTATTTTATGCTATTATGTTTTATTTTTAATTAACTATTGTCTTTTTAGTTTATTACATTTTAATCCCTTGGTTCTTTTTAATTGCATTTAATTTTGTTGGGTGATTTATATCCCTTTGAATGTAGTCATAGAATCTTAATTTTAGATCAAATAATTAGGCTTAGATTTCTTTTAAATTAATCCCTACTAGAGTAACTAGACATAATATCAAAGAAAAACTCGTTGTTTTATTTTTTTTCTTCATAATGAAAGAAGAAATATAAAGTTAGAATAATGGCCTGAAACGGTTAAACTGTGCATAATACGATTATTATTATTAATTAAAGGATCTTTTGATATCTTCTTAAAATAATAATAATAATAATAATAATAAAAGTATAATCTTCAAAACATGATGGTTCTAAAGATATTCACATAATATTAAAATATAAAACAAATCAATAATTATAATAATATTAATTATTAATAAAAATGATAAAAATCGCGTATAAGTTTCATGTATTAAAAATAATTTATGGTTAAACTTTGATGTGTTATAGTTTATAATAATAATCGTAGTAAATTTAATACATGATTTTTATCATTTGTATTAGTTAGGGATGATCATATCTAGGTACTCGTTTTTTTAGGTATTCGAGACTTCTAGGTGTCAAAAACTCGGTATACATCTCAATCAATAATATACAGGCACCCATGGGTACCCATAAAATCTCGGTACCCGTATTTTCGGGTCATCGATACCTAATTAATATTTATTTAATTTATATTAATTTTCAGAAAAATAATACCTAAGGCTCTTGTATATTTTCAAAAAAATCAATTTGGCCATCCAATTACTGATGCATCCATGCGACCCCCAAACTTAGGGAAAAAAACAATTAACATGACCCTTTAACCAACAACTTCTATCATTAACCATTATGAAACTGTATAATAAAAAGCATTAAAAATAGGTATATGACTAAGAAGAGTATTGTAGTGAATATAACATGATAAACATAAGTAAACTTTACCTAAACTTAATGTAAAAAATTTAATAGGAAATTTTCCCAACTATGATTAATATATATTGTTTAAGACTTACACGGACCGCCTTATATGAGGGCTTAAGTTAGCTTGTTCATTCCCAATTCAATATATATATATATATATATATATATATATATATATATCAATTTTTTAGCAATTTAATTATTAGTTTTACTATTTTTTATATTTTATCTTTTGTGTATTTTAGATTTTAAATTTAGAATAATAATTTTTTAATAAATAAACAAGTCCTTGAACTTTTTGATAATATATTTTGTTATTATATTTTATTTGATAATATATTTTGTTATTATATTTTATTTGAAAATGCCATTTAATTATATATATTATCAGTAAAAAATAAATTTTTAGAACATTTTGTTTTTCATAATAATTATTATATTTTATCATTATACTTAAATATATAATTGTAAACATAATTTTTTAGTAAAATACCTTGAATCTTTTATTAATTAAAAAATGAAATTTTTGTTCTGATAATTTTTCTATAACAATAACTATTACATATAGTTACAAAACTTGTCACTATATAACATTTTTGCACCAAAAAATAGGAAAAATATTTATGATAATATAAGTTTTCAGAATGATTAAAATATATAACTACAAAAATAATTAATTACAAAAAACTTAAATTTTATTAATTACAATATATTTTGTTACTATATAACATTTTCCATGACTTCTACTTTTTATACGTTTCTGTTATTGGTATTTATGAAGGATTAGAACTGGGCTTGCTATCGTTGACTTCTGTGTATCATTCTCCTCATGTTTCCTCTTTTAAATTTAGCCGGGTCTTATGTTTCTGTCTATATGCAGAGATTCATTCGCAGGGATTATTATGCAGGGATTAATTTCTGTTACAGACGCACATATGATTTTAATGACTGCATATGAATACTGTTTAGCTATGTATTGATGTATTTATTTATATATGCATTGAATTTTATCTATATTTTTTATTTTCTAACTGCCGGAGGTCTTCCACGAAAGCTACTCTCAACCTGGCGTTGGGGGCAGCCTACTACCCTACCTCCCCCTTACCCCATACATATGGGAATTGGGTTTTGTTGTTGTTGTTGTTGTTGTTACAAAACATGTCACTATATGATTTTGGTTTTTTACCAAAAATTTGAGATAATCATTTGTGACTATACATTTTGTCACTATAATTAAAATATATAATTACAAACAAAATTTGTCACAACAAATCTAAATTTCATTATTAATTGTGACAATTTTTTCTGTCATAGTTACAAAAACTTTTAGTTACAAAAGTTGTCACTATTTGCCTTCAATTTGGAGTCAAAAAATTGGAGGGAAACATTTGTGACAAAAATTAGTAATAAAATTTATTTTTTCACCATATGCTTCACATGTTTGTCAATTGTGACAAATTATTATGATGATTTTAACTTTTTTCATAATTGTATATCTTTTTTTAATCTAATGCGACAATTGTTCATTTTGTCACCAAAAAGCTACTAATAGTGACAAAATTAATTTTGAAAAAAATTAAATTTGTCACAATAGTAAAAATTTCTTGTAGTGTCTGCACTTCCTCCCATACAATGCTTCATACGGGGCCATCATAATACTCGATTGGTAACTATTGTTATACACAAATTTCGCTAAAGGCAATACTATTCCCATGATCCTTTAAATTCAATCACACATTCCCTTAACATATCCTCTTGTATATGTATAACTCGTTCTGAATGTCTATATGTCTGCGGATGAAAAACTATGCTGAAGTTGAATCGAGTACCTAATGCCTCATGTAAAGACTTCCAGAATCTTGATGTAAATCTTGGATCTCGATCGGACACTATCGATATATGTACTCCATGCAGTATAATTAACTCTTTTATATACAACTCCACATACTTATCCATCGAATAGTCTACTCTAACTGGAATAAAATGAGCCGTCTTGGTCAATCTGTCCACTATTACCAATATCGAGTCCTTTTTACCTTGTGACGAAGGTAGCCTTGAAACAAAATCCATAGTAACTCGCTCCCACTTCCACTCAGGAATGGTTATCAGTTGTAGCAATCCAAAAGGCACTTAATGTGCAGCTTTCACTTGCTGACATGCTAAACATTTTGCAACACACTCCATTACAGCTCTTTTCATACCAAGCCACCAATAACGACTCTTCAAGTCCTGTTACATCTTATTCCCGCCTAGAAGCATAGTCAAAGGTCTATATTGTGCCTCATACATAATATCTTTCTTCAATTCATCATTATCAGGAATGTAAAGTCTTCCACGGTAATATAAACATCCATTATTCCTCATTTCAAAATATTTGACCTCTTTTATTTCTACTTGTGCCAGTCTCATCAAGCATTTCTTATCTCAACCGTGCAGCTCTTTTACCCAATCCAAAAACATAAGCTTTAACTTTAATTCAAGAACCAAAGCACCATCTTCCTTTAAAGACACATGTGCATCTAAAGCCCTTAAAGCTACAAAAGTTTTTCGACTGAACGCATCGACTACTATATTAGCCTTTCTCAGATGATAGTCAATAACCATGGGGGATCGATTTTATGGGACATTTCCCCTCGTCCTTTGGTGATTTGTATATACTCTTGGTGGTAGACTATGTTTCCAAATGGGTTGAAGATGTGGCTACACCTCGTAATGACTCCAAGATTGTATTAAATTCTTACACAAGAATATATTCACATGTTTTGGAGCACCATGAGCAATTTTCAGCGATGAAGGTACTCACTTCGACAACAAATTAATTGTTAATGCAATGAAAAGATATGGGGTGAGTCACAGAATTGCTACGGCATACCATCCACAGACTAATGGGTAGACTGAGGTTTCTAATCGTGAGATCAAACATATTTTTGAGAAAGTGGTAAACCCTAAATGCAAAGATTAATCACCAGAGCTTGATGAGGCATTGTGGGCTCACCGAATAGCATTCAAAATGCTACTCGAAATGTCACCATTCAAGCTAGTATGTGGAAAGGCATGCCATTTGACTGTAGAATTGGAACACAAAGCATTTTGGGCCATCAAGAAACTCAATATGGATGCATAGCTCGCTGGAGAAAAAAGATTATTGAAGTTGAATGAAATGGATAAATTTAAAACTTAGGCGTGAGAAAATGCCAGCTCTACAAAGAAAAGATGAAAATGTGGCATGATAAAAATTTTACCTAGGCAATTTTTTCTGGACAACAAGTATTGCTCTACAATTCATGACTAAAGCTATTCCCAGGTTCGCTAAAATCTAGATGGTCAGGATCGTTCATCATACATCAATTCCATAGAAATATAGCAATAGAAATTAAGAAATTGGACGATGGATAAACCTTTAAGGTGAATACTCAACGACTGAAGGCTTACAATGGAACACCCATCTTGCGTGATAAACCGACATCGTTACTTCACGATGCCCAAGAGTTTGCTCTTTTTTCCTGAACAACTTTGGTTGCCTAGGCAACAAAAATTTGCACGGTGTATATAAATAATCTATGTTATTTTATTATGCATGAGTTATTTATTTTTATTTTAT